CCTGCCTCACCCTCCTGGGTGCCAGAATTACAAGTGTGCAGACCAGCACTCCTGGTCTGAATCTTACATTTATTAAAAGAAGCTCAGTTTTGCAAGAGTAACTTGGTGGAGTCAGGAAATTGAACTCATATTCTGAGTATGGATTTATAGCAATTCTACTAAGTAACTGCCATTAGTAATAATTAGCACCTCGTGTTGATGAACGCCCTCACTGACCCTTCCAGTTCCCGCAGGTGAGCTTATGATTATTCCCACTTCACTGAGGTTTGAAAGCAGGTTGTCTGGGCCATGCTCCCGTCACATTCGGCTGTATGGTGCAGACCTGGCACAGGCAGGAGGCCTGGATTCTGAGAAGGTGCTGAGCACGGCGGTGCTGCACGCACCGTCCCACTGCAAGGAAGATGCACAGGTGAAGGCTGGGCGCAGGGACGTGACTGCTGTCCCGACCACCACTCCTACAGCCATCAGGACGCTGTGCTGTTGGAGGAGGACAGAGGCAAAGACTCCCGGAGCAGCACAGAGCCCGGTGACGGACTTGCAAACTCTGCCACGTGATCCTTGGTGGAGGAAGGACAGTGCTGCAGCAAGGGATGATGGAGCAGCAAGCAGAAATACGAAAGCCAGCAAAGAAAAACTGGAATTTACACACAGTTGTCTCAGAAGGAATCGTGGACATCGTATAAAGTGCAGAATCACCAGACTTCCATTTTTTTTTTTTTTTCGTTTTTTTTTCCAGTACTGGGAATCGAACTCACGACCTTGCGCTTGCCAGGTAGGCGCTGTGCCGCTGAGCTAAATCCCCAGCCCTAAGACTTCTAGAGAAAAGCCTGGGGGAGCATTTCTAGGATGGAGGGTCTGACGAAGAATTTCTGGACCAATGCTGGAGTTCATTACATCTGTAAACACCTGCTTGCAAAAGGCCCGTGAGGGGTAAGAAGATGAGCTCCAGGAAGGGAGAGATACCTGCGAACCACACGGCAGACGCAGGATGTGCATCTAGCGCGTGCACAGAATTCTCCAACTCTGGAGTCAGAAACAATCTCAGTAGCAAGAGGCCTGCAGACACGAGCAGGTCCACAGCAGAGGCCACAGGTGACGGGGTGCAGCAGAGACATCCCCGTCATTCACCGTTAGGGAAATAAACATTTGATTGACAGTGAGAGAGATGTCACCACATGCCTCTCTGTGGCTGGCACAGACGGTGACAACCCCGGGGGCAGAGGCTCTGGCTCACTCGTGGTGGCGGGACTGTGGCACAGCTCCTCGCAAGGGCTCGAGAGCTCCTTACAAAGCTACACGCTGGCCCATCGTACGCCGGAGTTGGGAGCCCAGTGCCCCCCAAAGGCCTGAGCCTCGAAGTCTTGGCCCCCAACCTGTGGTACCACTGGGAGGTGGAGCAGCTAGTGGGGAGTTGGGGGTGTGTCCTGGAGGGGCTGGTGGGATCCTGGCCACTTCCTCTCTCCACTGCGAGGCTCTTTCCTCCAACGAGCGCTCTGGCTGCCTTACCACGGCCCTTGAGCAACAGGTCAGCTGACCGTGAGCTTGAACCAGGAGCCAAACAAACCTTTCTTGCTTAAAAGTTGACAAGCTCAGGTATTTTGTCACAGCCATGGAAAGCTGACTAACCCACCAGATGAGCAGGACCTGCATTCATGGGCCTTTATTCCTGAGAAATGGGGACACACGTTCACACAAGACCTTGTACGTAAACAAATGTCCTTAGCAGTTTTACCTGTAACATCCCCAAACTGCGATCAGCTGAAGAACAAGACTCAGGGCTGGGCCCCATCCTGCAGGGCTCTGGACGCCTAGGGTCAGCTTTAGGGCCAGAGGAGGAAGGCCTAGGTGGGCACACTTTGCTAGGCAGTGACTATACCTCAGTGGGCCTCTGGCTGGGCACAGCAGGGAACTCACAGGATGGAAGGGAACTTCCCCCTGTGTGTGCAGAGTGCTGGGTGTGTGTGGGCGCAGGCAGGGCTGACAACGACCCCCAGGAACCTGCTCCGGGACTGTGGCAAGAGTGTGCCCTCCCCAGAGCTGCCCCCATCCTCGGGAATGCAACGCCCACTGCCGAGGCCAGTGTAGCTACAGGACACTTTCCCGAGGATGAAGATCACCAAGGGTTTCTGGGTCAGAAAAGCAGCGAGCAACAATCTGCAAAATTGCAGACCCGAGAACTCGTTACCCGAAGCTGTTGCGGGCCCTGGATGTGACAGCATGCGTTGCCATTTCCCACTGGGCCTGGGAGGGGGCACGGGAAGATGGCACGGAGGAGGTCCAAGGTGGGGACCTGGAGCCACGGGGAACACTCCGCAGCTGGAGGGGGACCATCGATCACAGCCCCGCATCCCAGGCCCCGGAGGAGCAGGTCAGTGGTGCCAAAGAGGGCGTCATGATACTGGGGGGAGATGGGCAGGGAAGGAAGCGGGGATTCCAAGCCCCGCTGCTCACCAGTGTCCCCAAGTGAACCCCAATCCTCGAAGCTCTCTGGTTTAGCCAACACTGAATCTTCCTTGCGTCTGTTTTCCATTAGCGCACACACCCGAAACCTTTCATTAGCCCATCATGCCAGAGAATAATGACTCATTTCTGGCGGTAGTTTTTCCTTATCCCACAAAGGCCTGTGTAAAACCCTTCCATTATTGTAATTTCCTGCTGGGAAAGTCGACTGCGGAGGATTCCCGGGTCCCGGGGACAGTGCTGCTGCGAGCTCATGCCCACCGCGCTTTGTGGGTGTCACCTCCTCTCCTGGACCTTGAGAGGGAGTGGGGGAGCCAGTCCAGGCAGCACCAGCGTTGCACAGCCCCGGCCCAGACTGTGCCCCAGGATCTGGCTCCCCGGGACCCGAGGCGGACCACGGGGTACTGACGGTCGACGTGGCCCCCGCACTCAGTTCTAGTCCTGGCAGAGCTGGGCGTGAGCGGAGAGAAGCAGCACGGGAGCAGGGCTTGGGAGGCACCTAGGCTCCTGCCTGCCCAGGCCGCCCCGACTGTGAGCACCGCTAGCCAGCCGGCTCTGGGGCTTAAAGGCTTACGGGGATTTCCGAGCAGAGATGCGGCAATTTGCGGCTTTTGTTAGCCTAATGAGCAAAACCGGCTACACATTTAGAAAGACTTTCATTATCGATGTGTTTTAAAATAAGACGCGGGAAATCTGATTTGGGGTAGAAAGGCCTGAAGAGTCCCAGAGCCTTTAAGTAGGTCCTGGGGCTGGAAGGAGGCCCGCCCCCCCAATGCGCCCAGCTGTACCCCCACACTCTCCCAGCCCCTCCAGGAGGCGCCCTTGGCTGCTTGGAGATAATTTGCCCACCCATGGACTGCGCCTGCCCCTCCAGGGGCTGTGGGGACAGCTGCCCACTGTTCTGCAGAAACACCGTCGCACCCCTTTGCCTCTGGCACCCTGAGCGCTCCATGCCTGGGCATTCTGGAAGACAATCGACCGAAAATGCAACTGGCCTCGTTGAAGCAGCAGCCCCAGAGGGGGAGCAGCGATGATGATGATGAAAGATGTTAGCCGCTGCCGGGCCGGATGGGCTGCCTTCCCCAGGCAGCTCAAGTGTGCAGGGCAGCCTGCCCCTGGCCCCGCGGGCTCTGGGTTTTGAGGCAGAACCGGTATCAGCACCTGGCCGGGCCCTGCCAGAGTGCCAGGGTGGGCTTGCCTGCTAAAATGTAGCACCTAGCCGTGTGTGGTGGTGCACACCTGTAACCCCAGCGCTCTGTGAGGCAGGAGGATCAAAAGTTCAAGCTCAGCTTGGGCACAGTGACTTAGTGAGACCCTGACTCAAAATTTGAACAAATAGAACAATAAAAAGACTGGGCATGTAGCTCTGTGTGAAGGCCCTGGATTAAATTCCCAGTACCGCAAAACAACACACACACACACACACACACACATACACGCGTGCAATCAACCAACCATCCAACCAACCAACCAAAAAAAAACCCAAATCAAACAGGACCTGCAGTTAAACTTGAAGTTCAGATCAACAAAGGATGCTTTTCAAACATTAGCATGCCCCCAAAGTTCTTGGACATACTTAGGTGTGAGTGTGGTTTGCTGTCTGTCTGGACCTCCACTGGTGTCCTATGTTTTCTTGGCTTTCCCTGGCAGCCACAGCAAAGGCCTCCTCTGTGACCTTGGCCCCACCCCTTAAGGAAGACCCCTCCCTGGATGTAGGAGGCTGGGGGTTCTTATGCGCAGAATAACTGGGTCTGGTTGGAGGCCATCACAGAGGGAAGTGGTAGGTCTGGGGCTGGAGAGACTGCACCTCCAAGTTCTGGGTGTTGCTGTGGGGCCGTGGGCCTCATCCACAGATGGCTGCACTCTTTTGGTCTTGAGTCTCCGCCCTGCTAAGGGGGAGGAGGCACACCTGCTTCCTTCAGTGACAGGGTCTAGAGACGTAAGACACAACGCATGCTTTGCAAGGGTCCCTGGCATACTAGTGCTGCACAGAAGTCTGTGTTGGGGGTGGGTCCCTGGGTCATCTTTGAGGTGGGGGACAGAAGCCTCAGGGTATGGCTCACTTCTTGGACCTGGGGGAGTCTGGCCTCATTTCCTACTGTGGTTGGGACCAGATCCAAAGTGTAGCCTCAGAGCGCAGGTCGTGGTCTCTGCCTGGGCTCCTGCCCCAGGTCCTTGGCTGGTGCTTCCTCATCTATGGGCTCATTTGCAGCACATGCAGCGACCCCAGGACCCAGCCCCTCTCTGCTGCTCCTCCTCATACACCAGTCCCCAGACTGCATGTCACTCCCACAGGGTGCCTTCTGTGGCCAGCCGTGTCCCCACCACTGCTGGTGACTTTGGTTTCCTCTGGGGCCAGGTCACTGCAATTCCCTGGGGTTATTGTACCTCTCGTCTGCACCCCTGGGCCCTGAGTACACGAGAGCAGGATGTGCTGGGGACCGAGTCCCGAGGCACTAGCCCCTGCCCGTCCTAGCCCAGCAGAGGCTGTGTGGTCCCTAGCACGCACATGCCAGTGTGTCTTGGCTGCCTGTGCTCACCTGGCTTGGAGCCCTCGTCCACGGAGCCGTTGTAGACCTGGTTGATGAACTCGGGGCGGTTGTCGTTCATGTCGATGACGTAGATGTACAGGTCGATGGGGTTCTCCACCTTGTTGCCGTTCATGTCCACGGCGTGGGCTCGGAGCTGGGGGCAACATAACAGGTCAGGCCTGGTGGCCGCCTCGGGGGCCCTGGCTGTGCTGAGGGCAGATTCCTGGGCTGGGGATAGCAGAGGCAGCTGGGCAGGGGTCCGTGGGCTCCAGCTATAGCCGGGAACTTCCGTTAGCCTCAGTTCTCCTTTCACTGAGTCTCCACTGGCCAAGGCCACCCAGGGCCTCTGGATCTGCTGAGACTGTTCTCAAGTGCATGGGGCAGGACAGGTGTCCACCCTTCCACGAGGGTCATCCCACTTATGGAGGCTGCAAGAAGGACATCTGTGCCCAGTGGTGTTGGGGCGCCCGAGATGCTGCCCCTGGGTGACGGGAGACCCAGAGAGGAGACAGTGTGGAGGTGCACAGAGGGACCCAAGCTTGCTCTGGGAGTTGGGCTCATCTGAGCGCCCAGCATGAGCTAGGCCACAATCCAGGCCTGTGTGCTGGCCTGGGACCACGGGGAAACGGGTGGTCAGAGAGGGCTAGGAAGACCCTCCTGCCACTGCCAGGGGTGGAGGCCCCAGAGGACTTCAGGGAAGAAAGGGGAGACGCCCTGGACACCCTGAGAGAGGCTGCTCAGACTTCATTTTTGAATTCATTCATTCCTTCATTCATTCAATGCCTATCAAGACCTACAAGTGCCAGGTGCTGGAGCACATCTTGGATTATTCTGTAATAGACAAGTGACTGGCCCTGGTACTTCTCACCAGGAGGGAGATGGAGTATGAGACAGGAGGAAGTGATCTGTCATGGCTGTAATGCCAGCAGCCCCAGGTCATGTGAGGTCGGGGAGGGAGGCCTGTCAGAAGAGGGGACATTGGGTCGAGACCTCAAGGGCAGGATAGGAGCAAGGACACAGACTGGCTGGGCTCTACAGGCAGGAGAGAGGGAAGGGGTGGCATCCTTGAGGACCTGGGATTTTAGGGAGGAATCAGAACTTAGAGGGCCCAGGTCTCCCTGCACCAAAGCCACGACTGTCACCTGGTGTCCTTGGTTCATATTTCTCTGCTGAAAGCAATGTTACTCTTAAATTTGGAGACACGAGACTGCAAGGCCTTTGCAGCAAGGCAGTGCTACCAAAGGTGTCCAGCAGAAGTGGTGCCTGAGGCTTCCCGGGACCTGGGCTGGGCGAGGAGGCGTGTTCCATGCCTGCCAGAGGGAGATGCCAGAGCCAGCTGGGGCTATACAGGAGCCCGTGTTTCGGTGGGTTTTCTGACATCCCTGAGTGGAATTCTGCCCTTAAACTGTGTGCTTAAGGGGAATCTGAAACCTGGCTTTCCCGACAAGGCAAGAGCACTGTCGTACGGAGACATCAAGACTGATTCCCGGGGATGCTGCCGGTGCAAGAAGTGATGGGGCGTATGCACACCGTGACAGTCTTAAGTACTGTGTTTAAAAATCTCGGAACATTTTGGGCTGTTCTCAGATGCCCACTCTGTCCCTGGCTGATCCCTTGTCCCGGATGGACAGTGCCTCGGCCAGCTGGAGGGGGCTTCTTGTGGAGGTCCGGCGTCCTTCATCTTGTCGGATGCAGCCATGCAATAACATGCAGAGCTAAAGTTTGGGAGCCTCCAACACAGCGATTCTGAGCTAGGATGAAGGTCATTATCTCCTAACCAAAGCTGCAGTCAGGTTTGGGTGCTATCCTTAGCACGGGGAAGCCCAGGGCAGATAACAGGGCAAGCAGCTGCAGCCACAGCCTTGCTGCCAGGGCTTGGAGCTCTGTTCTCCCCGCCCCTAAAAGTTTTTACTACATTTGAGGCTTCTGGTGGCGATCCAAGCAAAACCTTCCCCCCCCACTGTCCGTCAGGCTGGGCTTGCCCACTGGGGCTTTGCCTTGGCAGAGGGAAGCACAAATGCTAACGGAAGAATCATCCAGGTTTCTACGACTTGCATATTTGAGTCGCACTTGCAAAGTGAATTTCCTGCCCTTGTTGTGGGAGGGGCTGGTAGTGAGTGTCCAGTGTGGGCCTGGCCTTGCGGCGGGTAGGATGTATGTGGGAGGAGCATGAGCTGTGAGGACCCTCACTGCCGTGTGTGGAATCTGATTCTCTCACTCCCTCTTCTTCACTTATTACTCGGGTGTGAGAGCTCCCCCTGCGGCCACAGAGTCCCCCAGAAGTCCACTAGGGCTTGCAAGTTGTCCTGGGGGTGCTCGGCAGAGGTTTTCCTCGTCAGTGACCCCAGCAGCCAGGACTAAGGGCTAGGCAGCGCCCTGACAGGTCTGCGTGCCTTCGCCCGATTCCGCTCTCACAAGACTCTGTGAGACTTCACTGCCTCCACCTGTGCTCTGCAGATGGGAAACCAAGGCCTAGAAGATGAGGGGCCTTGCCCAAATGACAGTGTGGTGGGATTCTGTGCGTCTTCCTCACGGCATCCTTAGAAGAATCTCTCACTGTCACTGTGCGGAATAACCACTTGGATGTCCACTTATGATTCCCTAAGCTGACGGATGTCCACACACCCTCAGGAGACCTCAGACCAGACCCCCACACCAGCCAAAGCAGTTGGGCAGAAAATGGGATGGGGTTCAAGGGCACTGGGAAGGTAGAGACTTCCAGATGGGAACACAATCAGGACCTCCTGCCCCTGCGGCGTGGCGGCACTGCTTGGCACTGTCGACCTTCAGGCAGAGTGCCTATCCAGGCAGCCCCGATCTTGGACTTGTGGATCCCCCCACAAGGACTTTGCAAATGGAGTTTTCTCACCCTGGCAGCCTGCGGCCACAATTTTCCCAGACACTCGGTTTGGGGCCCAGGCAGCATGTGCCGCTGAAGGATTTTGGAGATTGGTCAGCCAAAATCTACAGAAAAATGGAGGCAAGCTTGCAAAGTGAACCAGGCAGATGAAGGGGGTCTCTCTGCACAGCGCCATCTTAGCACTGTGTGGATTGTAAATTTTGCCTGTGACGGAGAGAAGGAGATTGCCCCTCAGGTGGCCATCCTGGCCTCTGATCCTGCGGAGCTGCAAGGCCTGTTCCAGACTGTTCCTCAGGCTTCAGAGAGAGGGCACTGCCCAAGGGGAGTCCCTGAGCCATGCTGGTGACACCATCTGAGTAACAGTCTGCAGGGAGCTGAGCCAGGGACTGCTCCAGAGCTGGGGAGGAGCAGTGAGACGGAACCAACAGCCAGGCCGGCTCAAGGTTTCCACAAGGAATCAGAAGCAAGCACACAGAGAGGAAGAGGTTCCCAGGGACAGCTCTGATTCAGGAGGCAGCAGTCCTCCGCAAATGCTACTGCTCCACATCGAGCGCCTGAGCAGAGGCTGCCTCTCCGCATGTGCAGATGCTGCAGCTTGCCGGGCAGGTGCTTGAGCCCTGACTCCGCTCTGGCTAAAAAAAGATGACAGAGCACATGGAGGAGTTCACACGTGAGCAGAACTCTCCGTCTGTCTCTGTGTCTCTCCCCATGTCCACACGGGGGTCCTGGGTTGGGGTTGTTGCCCTGGTTGTAATGCTGTGTTGAATGCAGCTGGAGCCCCTTTTGGGAGCCGACAGTCAAGATGACATCTCCTGCAGCCCGGGCAGAGCGCCACACCCTGCTCCAGTCTCCTTGGTTCTGTGGAAAGGCCATGGCAGCCCATGGTGGGCTGAGACCTCCAGGAATGTGCACAGCCCCAAGTTGCTGTAGTCAGATCTCCTCCAGCGCCTACCTGCAGCTCCCTTCCCAGGCCTGAGGGATATGGGGTGGGTATGGGGGGCTCTTGGGTGAGACAGAGGGTGCCTGAGGCTGGCAGGGATTCAGGGTGCTCGAGGCCTGGAGCAGAACAGCCGAGGAGCAAAGGGAGGGCCCAGCCAGCAAGGCCCCTAGGGAACCAGTGGGGACTTGGTGACCCCCCACCCCATCAAGGTCCAGTCTGGGAGGAAGGTGGGGTCTTTAGGGTCAGGATTTCACACTTGGAGGATGACAGGGCCAAAGTAGGGGCCCACAGGTGGCTCCAGACTGCTCTGGCCTGAGACTGGCAAATTTCCCTGGACTCTGCTCGGAAGCGTCCCAAGTGCATTTGAGTGTTCTGATTTCATTCTCTGGAGGGATGAGGGGCCCTGTGTTCCACTTTGCACCAGGACCTGGAGTTCTATATCTGTCCTGGAGGTGTATGGAGTGAAGCCAGGGCTTGGCCAGAGCAGGTCCCACCCTACCTGAGTTTCTGAGCCTGGCCTCATGTTTATGAAGCCAACTTTCAGCCAGACTCTTGAAGATTAGGAGGAATAAGCCTGAGAAGACCGGGCTGCAGCTGGTCACCTGCTTGCTGGGGCTGTGCCAAGAGCTGCCACCTCCCAGAAGAGATAGAAATCACTTTGGAGATGCCCAGAGGCAGCTGGCTGAGTGGAGCAACCCTCCAGCAGGCAATCAAAGCACTGAGATCCTGGCCCCAGAGCCGAGGCCTTTGGGAGCAGAGAAGGCGAAAGCAAGGACCCCACGGCTGAGGAGCTTTCTTCCAGAGATCACAATAATTAAAAATTAATCTGTCTCATCTTGGAGAGGTGAATTTAATCAGCAAGTGGCCTCCTCGTGTAGTCGGTGTAGAGACAAAGTGCTCCGATGAAGGAGCAGGCTCCGGAGCTGATTGCTGATCAGGAGGGAGTCAGCAGGACAGGGGAGGCCCACCGTGTGGGGCAGGTGGGGCAGACAGGGGCCAGGAGCTGCTGGCACAGGGGCTGCTGGCACAGGGGCTGCTGGCACAGGGGCAGTCTCATCTACTCCACCGCCCCCCACCTTTCTCTCACCCACTCTGTCAGCCGTCAGCCAGCCTGGGATTGGCTGAGCTCCCTGCTGGACTTGGGCACTGAGGCCCCTTAAGAACCTGTCCTGGAAGAGATGGTGCATGCGGGAGGATGAAGAAGCGGGGAGGGAGCGGAGGGAGGGAGGCGCAGAGAGGAGGAGGGACATTGCGGCCCAGAGTCAGGCAGGTCCTTGTAAATGCGGGGTGTGAGAATGGCTAGAAGAACAGTGCCCCCTCTTTTTCAAGGGTAACCTGGACCTCACGGTGGACCTGACAGCTGCTCCCTGGGGAAAGCACCCTGACACTGCTCTCGCAGCCAAGCCTGTCTGAGTGTCCGCTGCGCCTGCCGGGAAGGGGGCATCTCTATGCCTCTGCCTTGGCCTGAAACAAACCGCAATCCTGACAAGGAGGCCTGTGCATCCAGACATTGTCCTCCACATTCCTCAGCCTGTGAACAAAGCCACCATCCTTGCTCCAAAAGGACACAATGACTTTCCTTTAGCTACTCAGGCTCCCGAGGGAAATCTCTTTCTCCACCCAGCTAACAAGACAGTCTGCTTCCCACACCTCCTCTTCCCGACCCTGGCCTCCACCGCCAGACACAGAGTCAAGGAGCTGCTCAGACAGTGCCTGGGTGTGTGTGTGTGTGTATGTGTGTGTGTGTGTGTGTGTGTGTGTGCCGAGGCATGGCGTCACCGCTGCTGGAGAAACTGGGGAAACAGTCTGCTCAGGAAGATTTGATGCCGTCTTATCCCAGCAATGTCCAAGCCCCCTAAAGTGGGGCCAGATGGACTCCATTCATCTCCGTCTGCTAAGCACCTAATGCAGGGCCTGGCACACTGGTAGTGCTTAGGATGGATGGATGGAAGGATGAAGGGGAGGGTGGAAGGGTGATGGATAGGTGGATGGATGGGTAGGTAAATACATGGACAAGCGGATGGGCATGTGAATGCATGGTGGGTGGGCGAATGGATAGGTGAGGATGGATGGATAGATGGGTGGATGAGTGGGTGGGTGGGTAGATATGTGGATAGATAAATGAATAGAAGGATAGGTGGATGGATGTGGGTGGGTAGATGGACAGGTGGGTGGGTGATTGGATGGATGGATAGGTGGGCAGATGAGTGGTGGGTGGGATAGATGGACAGGTGGGTGGTTGGATGGGTGCTGGGTGTGTGAATGGATGAACAGGTGGGTGGATGAGTGGTGGGTGGGTGAGTGGATGACCAGGTGGACGGTAGGTGGGTGTATGGAGAGAGTGGATGGGTGGTAGGTGGGTGGATGGATGGACAGGTGGGTGGATGGGTGGTAGATAGGTGGGTAGAGAGAGGTGGATGGGCAGATGCGTATGTGTGTCTGTACATCTGTACATATGTATATATATATAAATGGATAAGTGAAGTAGGTAAGTATAGGGAGCAACTAAACTGGAAATCACTCACACGGTGTGGGGCTAAGACAAAGCCAGCAGGAGAATACAGGGAGCTCCTGCAGCCTTCTAAACAAGCTGTTCCAGCTGGCCAGCTGGTTGCTAGGCAGAGGTTGAAATTGACGTCAACCTCCTGAGTGCATAAATAATCGCTCTACAGTTCTTGGGCAGTTCTTCTCCTCCCATCGAGAGAGAGAGAGCGCTCTACCTGACTTCAGCCTTGTCTCTTGCTTACATTTTCCTCATCCTGCTGCCATTTTTCCCCAGGACCACTGATAGTCGTGTGGGTCACAACAGGTAAGGGGAAGAATCTGGAGGTGTGGGCAAGGTTTCTCTGGCCTGCAGGAGGCTGTTGAGGTCCAGTGAACTGGAGAGCAGAGGCCAGGTACTGTGGGCCTGACTTTCGTCACACCTGCATCTTTGCTGACTGGTAGAAACCACAGGGTACTTAGCAGCTCCCAGTCTGTGTGAACTAGCAACTGCAGCCTTCTCGGGCTTGGGCAGCTAGCCTGGGGAGGAAACCTTGGTGGCTCTGAAGTAACCAGCCTCAGGTAGGCTCCCTGGGGTCCGTTTAGCCAAGCATCCAGATTCTGATGGTGCAGGAGTCGGCTGAGGCCATGTGGCTGTGACAGAATCAAGCTCCTCCCAACTGCTCCCTCCCCTGTGCAGATAGCATCTCCAGGGGCAGGCTCTGTCTTTGGGGCTGGGGCACGGCGTGGACAAGCCTGCCCATTCCCTGTGGACACAGAGCCTCCTTCTGGTGAGAGATGGAGAGTAAATTCCAAATAAGTGACCAGTACACATGAGAAACAGCTGGTCAGGCTATGATCAGCCCCTTGGGCTGAAGCAGTAAAGTGAGAGCAATTAATGTGACAGCAGGGGCAGAAGCTGCGAATTCTAGCTTTGTTCCCAAATATGGAGGAGCTAGAAGGGCACCATCACGACATTAACCACAGATACACACACTGCCCTCATCCACGCATTGACCCAACCCTACCCTCAGAGCAACCCGGGGGCAGCTACTGTCACTGAATCTTCATGTACCAGGAGAGGCCTGAGTCAGGGAGGGGCTGAGCGACTTGCCCGACGCTCACCTGTGAAGGGTTAGGCTGGGTAGGACCAGCGCTTATTCCAGAGCTGGGAATGACCACAGGGCTCTGCACTGGAGAAAGGGTGGAGCTAAGAGAAGGCTCTGAATGTGTACAGGATCCCTGGTGTCCCCAGCCAAGACTGAAGAGGTGGGAGCCCCTGTGGGTTCAGACCAGCACCCTTCCTGGGAAGGAGTTGGGAGTATGGCCAGGCCCACCCTGGCCACGGAGCTGGACCCCTGGGCTAGTGCCCAGCCACTGCACTTCAGCCAGCCAGAGTGGGTAATTCTGAACTAGGCTGTGCTTGGGTCATCTCCTGAGGCTCAGGACCTGTGGCCAAGCAGGAGTGTGCCTCACCTAGGTGCATACCACCTGCTCCCACTGGCCTCCGTTGGGGACACTCACGTGGTAAGACGCTCGCTCCTCCCGATCCATGGGCCGTGTGACATACATGCGGCCGGACATGGAGTCAATGCTGAAGACCTCCATAGGTGGCTGGTCAGCGCCCACTCCTGTGATGCTGTACCGGATGGGGATGTCGTTGTCTTTGTCGGACCGGATCTGCAAGGAAGGAAGAAAGGAGAGAAGTAAGAAGCTAGCCTGCAGTGGGGTGAGGCCGACATGTCCACCCTCCCTTCGAGTAACCATGTGTCTGTTTTTGGGGTGATTTGGGGAGTACAGCTAATTCATCCACCCTGGGAGCTAGAAGGGCAATCAGTGGTCAGGGGTTTACCAAGTGCCACCAATGACACGTCCAATGGCCCACCGGGTCACCAAAAGGTACCCGGTACCATATTTCAAGTTCAGTGTCTATATCGGGAGCACGGGACGCCTGGCAGGGATACATAACACAGCTGAAAAGGATGGAGGGATGGCTCAGACCAGCCAAAGCTGATGCAAACACTCCTAACGCTCTGCCGTCAATCGGGGCAGAGACGAAGGCAGCAGAGTTCTGAGGGTCAAGGTCATCAGCCAGCTGTCCACCCTATTGTGAAGGTCCACCCTCAGAGATCTCTGGATGTGCAAAGATGGAGAACACGGCATCTCCTTGCCTCTTTGACAGAGGTACTGGGAGGGGAAACACAGTAGGACCTCAGGCACCGGGGCGTTGACTGAATATGACGGAGACCAGTCCTTAGAAACAGGAATTTAATACTGAAAATCACAGTCAGCGTGTCTATGAAGCTACACACAAACACTGAAGTATTTCTCCAGGAGAAGCTGTGTAGCACTGAAAACAACTTGACAATGGCTCTCTGGCCTCACATCCAAGGTTAGTTAGCTGAGACTCGGAGCTGGGGAAGGAAGGAAAGAGCACGCACAGGCACAGAGCCTGCATTTTGCCTGGGGCGGGGTCATTTTATTTCTGACCAGATCCTTCGCTAAACACAAGTCTTTGGGGAACCAAAAGGATAACAGCAAAGTTAAAAACACAGTGCACGTCTTTCACTAGGTGCAGCGAAACATTCTGTGAGAAGAAAGGGACACGGATGGAAACACAGTCAATGTGTTTGGAAATACAGTCAAACCCTTGGAGGGAGAGGACGTTCTTGTCAAGGCGTGGGCTCCCTCAGGAACGTGGAGGAAGGCCACAGAGAACAGAAAGAAATAACTGATGAGGTGGATTCTACAGATTTGACAACATCTTTAGAAGACCTGACTTCTTTAAAAAAAAACTAGGCTCGTAGGACCATGACAACATTTTACAGTAAAGTGGATGTGATGGCTAATCTTGACTGTCAACTTGACTGCCAGGAGAGACACCTAGGAGATTCGAAAAACATACTTCCGGGGATGTCTGGATGGGTCGAGGGTGTCTGGTCTATTTCTCTCTAGCTCTTTCCCTGTCTCTCTGCTTCCTGGTTGCCATAGTTGAGTGGCTTTCTTCAGCCGTGCCTTCTGCCATGTTGCTCTGCCTCTGAGCCAGTGGACCATGGACTGGCACTTCTGAAACCATAAGCCACAATAAGCCCTTTCCTCTTTAGCTGTGTGTGTCAGGGATTTTGTCCCAGCGTTGGGAAGCTGACCAACACAGCGTGCCATAATGAAAAATCTCTAAAAGAGTTCCACAAAGCAAAACTGACCAAGACCTTTTATGGAACATAAAATTAAAATCTAGTGATAATATTTTTTAAAAGGACCTTTACAAATTAAAAAAACAACATTATTCTGAAAATATTATTGGTTATTCTGAAAATAACCATTGGGTCAAACAGGAATCAAAACTGATTTTAGAGGCTATTTAAAAATACCGATTATGCTCAGTGACATAACAATGAGACTATTATTTAGCGAAGCCTGAGATTGCTTCACAGCAAATGCACAGGCTCAGATGTGTTCATTATTCGAACAGAATTACAGCAGGCGGGGAAGAGAGTGCTCAACACCGGAGGAAGCGGGCTGAAGGCCGCAGAAGCACCAAATAACCAGTAGAATGGACAAGGCCAAGTCTGAATCTGAGAGCAGAACCACAGGTACCTGAGCGATTCAAGAGCTATATTGGGAGGCGCATCCTCAAGAAAACACCTGCGCTTTTGGTAAACTTGAGAGAAAAAAAATAACCCTTTTCTCACATCCTATTTTTCAGGTTAGGCTCCACTGTGTTGAAAAATCTCAGTTCAACTGATTATGTTTTGAGAAAATATAAAATTTCAAACTTGAGCAGAGGAAGAGGTGAGGCAGAGGAGAGGGTCACTACCCTGCAGAAAGTTCCCTTGAGGGATGCTGGGGCTGCAGCTTGTGTAGGAGTGATCTGAAACTTTCCTAGAGCAGAGGACAGAGACAAAGCAGCCTGCTTGGTTTTACAAGCTGGCGAGCCTAGGACCTGCAGCCTTGGTGTGACGCGGAGGCCTGGCCACGCTGAGACAGAAATGGGCGGTGCAGTGGTGCGCTCAAGACCCCCATCCTGCAGGGCCTATGTCGGAATTCGAGGGCTCCTTGCTGGGTGGCCTATTTCTGTAGCACAGTAATGAGTATAAGAGCCTCAATGGAGGCTTGGAAGAAACTGATGAGTATCCTTTCTGGGTTAATTTATATCCCAAACCACAAGCCATCCCCCAGAAAACCCCAGTTCTTAGAAGATTTGGCCTGAGAGGGAACATCTTTTGTAAACCAGCATTTGCTGAGGATGCACCAGAGCTGTCCATGCTAAGGTCACGAGCAAGGTGGTCAGCACCTGGCCATTCATGACACGGGAACCATTTCCCGTTGTCATTAAAGGAAATGGAAGTCCTTCACCTGCTAGTGAGAAGGAGATGAGGTTTGTATTACACAGGTATTTTACAGGTCAGCAGCAACCTAGGGACTGTTCATGCTGGCCCAGTGTTCTGGGAGGGGAAGCAGGCAGGACTGTGGGTGCATCCACACATGCTGTGCATGCACACACACTCATGGGTACACACCTGGGTGCACAAACATAGTCTGCGAGGACTATCCTGCTTCTCCTTACTCCCAGGACTGGGCAGGCTCTCACTCACCCTGAGCGGCACACAGCAGACAGGGCGGGTGGGCCTGGGCCCGAGGGTGCTAGGGACATTTGTGCTTTGCTGCGGCCACCTCTAAGGCCACTCTTCTTTCTCGGGATGGTGGTGACCGTCTGGGCTTGGTGAGTGGCTGTCCTGAGCATTGCAGATAAAGCCTCTAGTTGAGTCTGAATTTCCCCCTGTGCCGTGGGAGGTCACTGAGCTCAGTGCCACCTTAGCTGAGGCAGGACGTTCTCCCTGGTGCCCTTTTGTGGGTGAGAATTTTCTCTTCTCCATTCCCTGGGAGTTCCACCAAGGCTTGAGGACAAGGTACCGGGGGCAAAGTCTAGATTAGAGGACTAGCTCTCCTCTGTCACCCATGCAGGGATTGTTCCTTGGTGCTGGGGGAAGAGCCGGAGAGCGTGACAGGGAGGAGAGGGAAAGTCAGCAGTGAACATGGAGAGGGCTGGCGTGCTGGAAACTTGCGGTGACTGTGAGGTAGGACAGGGCCCTTGGGTGCACAGCAGGACTTCCAGTCACGGTTGTCCAGTCGCACTGGATCGCAGGACCCGCAGGGCCTGGGAGAGTGTCCAGCGGCTGGCAGCACAGCACTGCTGGTTGTGTTGGCATTGCTGGCTACCTCCTTCAGGCCAAGCTGCCCAGCTTTCAAGGGAGATTTAATTATAGACCTACTGAAAAGAACCCACCATATATTTAAAGATAACTTTTTTTTTTTTTCCAAAGAAATCTCATTACATTTTGACCACTGGGCCGCATTTGCTTAATTCTTCAGGGCCTTTCGATGGCTCCTTCTGAAATATGGCAGGTGGTGGGCTGCTCTATGTGGGGCTCCTGGCAGGGCTTTCAAAATGCCCTGGGTTCTCCCAGAGTTTACCGCGTTAAGAAGAAATACTGTGCGAATGAATTCACCAGATCAGGGGAGAGCAGTTTTCCCCTTGATTTGTGCCTGGAAAATGAGAAAAACATCGCAGAAGCATACGATAGGGCCATGAATAAAGAACACAGACAGTCGTTTCCATCACACTTCTCGCTTTATGATGCCATGGAGAATTATGCTCTTTTGCATTTGTTATTAAAGGACAGAACAGATGGTAAAAGGTTAGTTTAAAGTGATGTCTACATTAAAATAACTTATGGTGGCTGGCGATTGTGTGCGCCCCGGGACTCCCGCTTGCAAGGCCAGCTCAGTCCTGAGGAAGGAAGGGCTGTGGGAAAGGAGGATCCTGGCAAAGCCTCCCCGAAGGGGAGCGTCTGCCTAATTTCAAATGAACTTGAAGCTGCGGGAAAGTCACCGTGTGTGGTTTCAGATCGTAAACACCTTTGGGTAGATCGTAATATACCTTCAGATCGTAATATACCTGTGGGTATATTATTCCCAAAGCATCCAAGGCCGGAGGCTGTGGGGTGGGAGTCACGGCTGGGGGCCAGAAGAGAAGCCTGGCTTTTGGGGAAGGAGAGACCTTACCCAGAAAGGACCCCGGTGCCATGTGCCCGGGTCCTCAGGCAGTCAGCAAATGCCTCCCTCTGTTCGTGCCCTGCGGGCCACACCTGGTGTGGGGACAGGAGGGGCCGCAGAGGACTCAGCCCAGCCTCAGCCACCACCTGCTGTCTCATCGAGTGACTCTCGTAACTATACGTCAGGGTGAGGACGGGTAGGGACAGAGCGGGTCTGTGCGGGTCGCTGGGGTGGGGTGGGGTGGGACAAAGACCATCTTCCCGGCAGTCAGGTCCAAACCAGGCCTGCTTGCACTTGTCCCCTGCTTTGCACAGTTCCTGCACACACAGATACACAAGCACACTACACACATACACCAAACACCACGCACAAGCATTCACAAATATGTACACGCATACGTGCAAGCACAACACAGAGATACACCCACTCCATAGATACACACACAAGCCCAGGCACACACACACCCACCGCCTTCTTCTGCACCAGCCTCCGGAAGGAGCCGGCTGTTCTGTTCTGTTATTAATGGCTTTGCCATGAATAAGCCTCCCTTGGGTCCTGTCCTGGCATTTAAAAAGATGCTTTTCAAATCCTCAGGATCAAGTTTTTCCACCAGGATGTAATTC